GAGGTGGGAAGAAGAGTTGTAATATGAAAAGAAAAAGGATAAGATTCAGTTGGAGATAAGCCAAATTGAAATTGAAAAAAAAAAGCATCTATTGATGATGAAACTACTTACGGTATGAATATTTCACAATAGGGCTTGAGGATGTTGTGTCGAGGAATTTACATGGGAGATGTAGAAGACAATGAGGTATGATGACAAGTGGAATGAGAGTAGGTGGGGGCAGGAGGGCGTCAACTGACCCCGCAGGGGTGTTCTAGTGCAAGACCCCTGACCCCACGGGTATGTCACCAGACCCGCCCTGAGGCATCGCCGCGACCCCACAGCTGTGGCATCAGCTCTTTGCATGTAGTGTCGAACACACTACACTACGTGCAAAACGCTGATGTTTACATGGTGAACGTCAACATGACGTGCATCAGTCCGGGGCCATGACCTGCACGCTGACGCACACCTTGACACACACCTTGATGTATACCTACTATCCTCACTATACATTCCACCATCACCTTTGTCAATTATTTCAACTTCCTAACTGTCATCGTGAGACACACGTGAGTTTTTTTTTCTCTCTCTCTCTCTCTCTCTCTCTCTCTCTCTCTCTCTCTCTCTCTCTCTCCCTCTCTCTCTCTCTCCTCTCTCTTCACTCATTCACTTTTGCTTTCGCCTTTTTGATCACTGTCTCCATAATCCTTGGCTCTCATCTTCACCATTTGCTGGGTTGCTCTGAGATTGCGTGGTGGTAAATTGCAGGCTCTAGCCTGTTATCATGGGACACACATGAGTTTCTCTCTCTCTTCTCTCTCTTCACTCATCAGAGGTCAGTCAGGTCAGGAATGATGAGTTGACCAGACTGCCCTTTGCCAAGCAAGCATGGTAGTCTAGCGGGTTTGGCTTAACCTAACCCTGGTTTGGGCTTTGGTGAAGCTGTGTACCCTACACGTGCCATAACATTCATCAAACCCACACACACCCAACTTTCTCCAGCATGCCGTCACCACCCCTGGTTGTGTGTCTGTGTTCTTTGGGTTATGATCTGCAATTTATTGACTCAAATGGACATTTTCAAAGAGGAAAACTCAAGACCAATCAGATGCACAACATGGGCCTGGATCAACATTCCTGAGGTGGGTTGAGGAGTCATGCATGATGAATGAGAGTGGGGTGTGGTGAACAAGAGGTGGAGAACACCTGTATAGGATGAGGGCTACACTGCCAAGATATTTGTATCGGATGGGCCTATCCGATGTTCTATCACCCC